CCTTATGGTAGTATAATTCTGAACCAGTTTCTATATATTTTTTTAAATATTTTATTTATTTATTTGACAGAGAGAGAGATCACAAGTAGGCAGAGAGGCAGGCAGGGGGGGTGGGGAAGCAGGCTCCCCGCTGAGCAGAGAGCCCGATGTGGGGCTCGATCCCAGGACCCCGAGATCACTACCTGAGTCGAAGGCAGAAGCCCAACTCACTGAGCCACCGCTTAGAAGTTCATAGGCAATATGGGTAATGAAAAAATTGAACACTATAAACTTGGTGTGAACAGCTAACCTGTAGTTTGAATTCTCAGGGGAGAAATCTCTTCTCCAGCTCCCAGTCCAAACAGAGTAGATATGTTTTCTTATTCTCCATACCAGTGAGCTTTTTCTAGTCTTCCCTTTTTATTTATTTATTTTTAATTTTAAGTAGACTCCATGTTTATCATGGAGCTCAAACTCACAACCTTGAGATTGAGTCCCATGTTCTACCGACTGAGTCAGCCACGGGCCTATCTAGTCTTCCCTTTTATTGCAAATATAGTACTTTGGAAATTTTGGCCCTATGCAAGGCTCTGAGTGAGTGATAAAGACATATCTTCTGTGTCCTGCCCCAAGATAAAGAAAACAAAACAATCCTGGCTTTCAGTTTTCCTCTTTGTTTTTGGTCCTTGGTAATTTTTCCTTTTTTTCTGAGTTCATCATTGCATTTAAAACCTTTTTTTGGGGGGGGCGCTGGGTGGTTCAGTCATTAAGCATCTGACTTTGGCTCAGGTCATGATCCCAGCGTGCTGGGATCTAGCCCCGCATTGGGCTTCCTGCTCGGCGGGAAGTCTGCTTTCCCTCTGCTAGTCTCCCTGCTTGTGTTCCCTCTCTTGCTGTGTGTCTCTCTCTCTCAAATAAATAAATAAAATCTTTAAAACCTACTTTTGTTGTATTTAAGCCATTATTTCTGGATGTTATTCTGTTATGATTTTCATATTTGGTCCATGATTTTGTCAAAACAGAAGTCTTTACTAAAGTTTAGAATACTTAATCCCCCCCCACCCCCTCCATAACTACAATGGTGATCTTGCATGCCTTGTCTAGGTTGATTATAAAATTGAAAACCAGTAAACATTCTTCATAGTGTTAGGAGTAACTCTGTAGTCCTTGCAGAACCTAGTAGCATGTTGGCCTGTGGAGGAGACGTAATTACATCTTATACCTGTTCTACTCAAAGAATGCATTAGATGACAGAATGATACAGATTTGTTCTCATCTTTGTTTTTTCTAGACTCTGATTACCTTTTATACTTCCTGCAACAGAAAAGCCATGTGCTTAAGTTCTTGGGGCGCCTGAATTAAGCTGCTGCTTCCTGTTCAGGTCATGTTTCTGGAATCCCAGAAGGAAGCCCCCCCCCCCCCCGCCCCCATAAGGCTCCCTGTTTGGTCTGTTTGGTGAGGTGTGTGCTGCTCCCTCTGCCCCTCACCCAGTTCTCGTGCTCTCTCTCAAATAAATAAATACAATATATTTTTCATTTCTTAAAGACTTTATCTATTTAATTGACAGAGAGAGACAGACGGCATGAGTAGGAACACAAGCAGTGGAGGTGGATGAGGGAGAAGCAGGTTTCCTGCCAAGCAGGCAGCCCAATGCGGAGCTCCATCCCAGGACTCTGGGATCATGACCTGAGTCGAATGAAGATGCTTAAACAACTGAGCCACCCCAGGCATCCCTTTCCTCAAGCATTTTTAGCATCTTTTTTTTGCTGAGTGAAGTCCCATACTAATGTAATTCTTGTTTCTTTGTAGGTTATTCCCTCTTTTCTGGAAACAGGATATTTTTGGAGTTCCATAGAGTACTAAAATTGAGGAGGAATGTGATGAAATCATGTTGTATATAGTAAACTTAACTATTATTTCCCTGTCTTTTTTTTTTCCCCCTGTCTTTAAATACCCATTTTGGTTTTCTGTTACTTTGAGTAAAAAAGGAAGACTTACTACCCTAGTACTAAGGAATAGCTCATTTCCCACTCTTTGTCTCTCCTTACTCCCTAATGTGAACCTATCACAGCACAAAAAGAAGAGATGGGAAACTTTCCTAGTCACCTTTGCTTATCTCCTTAAAAACAATGCATTTGTTGTAAAATAAGAAGAGGTTAATTAACATCACTGAAAATATGTAAAGATTGATAGCCTAAGTGCTTCTTCAGGTCATTTTTGTGGGTCTATACCACTTCCCTCCTTTTGGGGCAGTTAATTTTTAAAATTTAGAGTTCCATATCTTAGCTTGCTTTAAGCTTTGGAGTAGAGGATATATATGAAGGCTAATGATCAGATTGGTTGCTAGCATTTAGTAGTTTAAAAAGTCAGATTTGTTTTACCAACTGGAGATCACTTATTTCTAGTGCTTGTGTGTATGTATGAGTTTGCCAGGTCTTGATCAGTCGGCTTTTTAAAATCAAAATACCTATGTTTCATTGCTTATTTTTTAAGTTTTAGGATTATTAGAGCATAACTGATTTTTTTCCCCTAAAATCAAAGGGCATTTTATTTTTTTAAAAGATTTTATTTATTTATTTGACACACAGAGAGAGATCACAAGTAGGCAGAGAGGCAGGCAGAGACAGAGGGGGAAGCAGGCTCCCTGCTGAGCAGAGAGCCCAATGAGGGACTTAATCCCAGGACCCTGGGATCATGATCTGAGCCTAAGGCAGAGGCTTAACCCACTGAGCCACCCAGGTGCCCCAAAACAAGCATATTTAAAAAATTTTTTTTTTAAATTCACTTATTTGATAGAGAGATAGAGCATAAGTAGGCAGAGCAGCAGGGAGAGGGAGAACCAGGTTTTCCACTGAGCAGGGATCCCGGGGCTCGATTCCAGGATCCTGGGATCATGACCTGAGCCGCAGGCAGCCACTTAACTGACTCAGCCACCCAGGTGCCCCTAAAAACAGGCATATTTTTAATAGCACCATTAAATCTATGGAGAAAATAAGGTATATCTTTGTGGTTCTGAAAACTATTTTTTTTTGTTTTAATTAAAATGACAAATTTGAAATATAATCTTAAATACAGAGGGAAGATGACATTTTTGGAATACCTCTGCTAAATAACTTGGAAAGATCAGAAGTAACCATTTAGCAGTTTGCTTTATTCCTATCAGTTTATTATTTTATTTTATTTTTTATTTTTTTTAAAGATTTTATTTATTTATTTGACAGAGAAAGATCACAAGTAGACGGAGAGGCAGGCAGAGAGATTGAGAGAGAGAGAGAGAGGGAAGCAGGCTTCCTGCTGAGCAGAGAGCCCAATGCCGGACTCGATCCTAGGACCCTGAGATCATGACCTGAGCCGAAGGCAGCGGCTTAACCCACTGAGCCACCCAGGCGCCCTATTCCTATCAGTTTAACCAGTTCTGTTTTATATGCTTATCTCTTAAAAATTTAATGTTGTAGTATTAGAACCCTATATACTCTTTTGTTAATGTTTTGATTTTTTTGTGCTGGCAACAGGTGCCAATTATTTTGCAACCAAAAGCTTTAATGCCCAAGTAATTAGAACTTGAATGAGTAGATTTGAGATAAGAGAGGTTCTCTTAGGAAACACATAGCCCTCACCAGACATTTGGTTAATTTGTAGTTTTGACAGTTTTTATGAGACTGGATTGGAAAATTGACTTGTGTGGGGAATCCTAGAGAGTTGTAATTCAACTAAGATCCATACCAGTTTTATAGCTAATAAACAATGCTGTGACCCTTGAAAACTCAACATGAAACAAGTACAGGTTTTGAATTATCTACCACTCCCATGTTTACCTGGAACTCCATGTCTTCCCCAAATGTTGTAATGTTCTAGTTAAGAACTGATGATTTAGATAAAGGGACGACTGGGTGGTTCAGTGGGTTAAGCTTCCAACTCGGTTTCAGTTCAGGTCATGCCTTGTAGTCACAAGATCGAGCTCCATGTCGCGCTGTGGATCAGTTCAGACACTACTTCAGATTCTCTTTTCCTTTCTCTCCTGCTCATTTCTCTCTCAGATAAATAAATAAGATCTTTTAAAAAAACAAAACAAAACTGATGCTCTAGATTAGTTAACGGTTTCTTTCTTTCTTTTTTTTTTTTAAGATTTTACTCATTTATTTGACAGATCACAAGTGGGCAGAGAGGCAGGCAGAGAGAGAGAGGGAGAAGCAGGCTTTCCACTGAGCAGGGAGCCCATTGTGGGGCTCCATCCCAGGACCCTGAGATCATGACCTGAGCCAAAGGCAGAGGCTTAACCAACTGAGCCACCCAGGCACCCCTGGTTTCTTTGTTTTATGTAAATGTTGTTTTATCCCTATAACCCTTGTTAAAGAAAATTAATGGCCTTAACAATAGGAATAAAGAAGCAGAAGAGTGTTATTTAGAATCAAATCAAGGGCCTACTTGAATTATACCCCCTACTCATTGATCTCTTAGATGAGAATTGACCCTTAAAAGAGTAGCTTAACGGATGGGGAGCATGGTGGAATTGCTCAGTTGCGTTGGGGTTTTAAAGAAATGGTCAAGGAGTGCCTGGGTGGCTCATTTGGTTAAGCTTCTGACTCTTGATTTTGGCTCAGGTTGTGGAATCAAGCTGGTGTTGGGCTCACACTGGTGGGGAGTCTGCCTGAGGTTCTCTCTCTCCCTCTTCACTGCCCCCTACACCCCAGTACCAATGCTCTCTCTAGAATGAATAAATAAATGTTTAAAAAAAAATGGTCAAGTTCCATACAGTTGCTTATCACCTTATTGTATATCTTAAATGTTGATGAGTTTTATGATGATTTTTAAGAAACAGATTTTACTTTTCATTTGATAGTTACTTTGTATCTCCCTTCCCTTGCCTAGAATCTTTGTTCTTTAAAGATACTTAATTTGGGTTGACAACATATTTTCCCTCTCCGTTACTCTCTGAGGTAAATATATTTAAACACCTATGCATGTATAGTAATGCAAAATATTTAAAAGGTTTCATTAAGTTGATTTTGTTGCATTGGCAGAGTGAAGATAGTCCGAGTCCCAAGAGACAGCGCCTCTCTCATTCAGTCTTTGATTATACATCATCATCACCAGCTCCCTCACCACCAATGCGACCATGGGAGATGACATCAAATAGGCAGCCCCCTTCAGTTCGATCAAGCCAACATCACTTCTCAGGGGAACGATGCAACACACCTGCACGCAACAGAAGAAGGTTAGTTGATGACAATGTATTTCTTAAATTTTCTTCCATTGGTAGATTTATGAGATTTTTTTTTTTTTTAGGGTCAGAAAGCATTTTTTTTCTACGGCCATTTTATAAACACATCAACACATATGTACTCCTACACTCACACATGAAAAACATGACACATTGTTTAGACTCCCACACTAGAGCATCAGAGTTCATTTAGCTTGTGGTTGATAGGTGAAGAAATTGAAAGAGGCTAAGGTGATTTATCTAAAATGAATCCATACTATTATATATGAATTCATCTACTTTATGGTTTAAGGCTTTGTGTGAGTTAGCCTGTAATTCTGATTACAGAAAAATGCATTTTATAGTTCCAAACTATAAGGAAATATGGAGACTCTAGAAATGAGCTACCTCTTTTTCACTTCATACCTATTTCTTTATCTTTAAGGCAATTGGGAGCTTAATTAGGTTTCTTATAAAACTGTAGAGCCTGTGGTATGAAAGACTGACTGAGGTTTTACTACAGTGCTCAGTCCTCTCTGTCATAGTACTTGGCCCCTGGCTTTCCTTCTCAGAGCAGTGTATTTCTTCTGAACTTCTTCCTCTTCAGTTGTGGCCTGAGCTCATAATATTCCTTCTTCAGAGAATTGTGTATCCTTGGAGTGAGACAGGTGTTTGCATGTCCAGGATGTCAATAATCTAAGAAACATTGAAACTCTTGAGTTAGGAAGGTGTTAAGGACTGAAAGTTTGTGTCTCTTCAAAATTCATATGTTGAAGCCCTAATTCCCAGTGTGGCTATATTTGCAGATGGAGTCTCTAAGGAAGTAATTAAGGTTGAATGAAATCATAAGGGTAGGACCCCCAATCCCATAGGATTGGTGTCCTTATAAGAAGAGACACCAGAGAGCTCACTCACTCTGGCATGCAAGGACACAGTGAAAAGGTGTTCATCTGCAAACCAGAAAGAGAGCTCTCACCAGAAACCCATCATGCTGACACCTTGATCTTGGATTTTTACTCTCCAGAGCTGTAAGAAAATTAATTTTTGTTGTTTAAGTCACCTGGTGTGTGGTGTTTTGTTATGGTGGCCCTGGGAAACTAATACTGAAGGATCTTAAAACCACCATTCTTGGGATGACTGGGTAGCTCAGTTGGGTAAGCATTTGCCTTCAGCTCAGGTCCCCATCCAGCTTCCTGGGATCAAGTCTGGAATTTGGCTTCTTGCTCATCAGGGAGCCTGCTTCTCCCTCTTCCTCTGTGTGCATTTTCTCTCTCTTACAAACAAAACGTTAAAAACAAAATAAAACAAGGAAAATACCATTCTCTTCCAGATGAGACAAAATAAACCTGTTTCTGAGTTATATTCTATTGACACACTAAAGCTTTTTCATTACTTGGTGTATTTCCCCCCAATTTTATTTAAGTTAAAATAATGTATGTCAAGCCAGGTAAAATATTTTATTGCTGTTAAACACAATAGTATGAGACAATATGGTTGTTTTTTTCAAGCTTACAGTCTGAGCACCTACTGTACTCTTTTCTATTGTTTTATGATGAAATGTGTCATACAGTCAGAAGAATATGTAAACCAAGCATACACTTAAAAGGATAACACACGAGTGTACCAACACCCAGATTAAAATAGAACATTGTTAATAATTCAAAAGCCCCTGTTCATCCTTCCTAGAGGATAAACCCTGTTCTGTGATTGACATCATTCCATTTTTAATATTTTTTAATACCTAGGAATGTATTTTAAAACAACATGATTTTAGGTTTTGCTGGCTTTACTTTCATTTAAATGTATTCTTCTTTGACTTTATCAAGCATTCTATTTTAAGATTTCATTTATTAATTTGACAGAGATCATAAGTAGGCAGAGCAGCAGGCAGAGAGAGAGAGAGAAGCAGGTTCTCCATTGAGCAGAGAGCCTGATGGCGGGGCTCGATTGCAGGACCCTGAGATCATGACCTGAGCTGAAGGCAGAGGCTTAACCAACTGAGCTACCCAGGCACCTCTCAAACATTCTGTTTTTAATGTGGATAGCAGTAGTTCATTTATTTTTACTTGGTATAATCTTACATTATATTGATACCCCATTATTTATCCATCTATTGAATAATGGGTATGCTCAGTTTCTTAGTATTATATAGAGTATTATTAAGAAACTTTATTAAGGTTCTATTGTATTCTGTTATTAAGAACAGTTCTGGTATACATGTGGAAACATTTCACTAGCGCGTAAGCTTAGGAACACAATTGCTGGGTCATAGATAAGCTTTGGATCAGAAGGGGAATGTCAGAAGTGTCTATTTCCAGATGGTAGTATTAACTAGTTATGGGTTGTTAAATTGAAGAGAAGCATCATGCTCTAAGCTCATGGAAACACAGAGTGGGGAGGATAGGAGGAAGCACTTACCTAGAAAACTGACTTACAGGCTTATTCTGCTCAGCAGTGTGTGTTATTCCTTAACCTCATTCTCCATTAGGTACATTATTATAGGCTGGCTATAGGCTTAGCTGCCAGATTGCCTCCCAGAAGAAGGCTGTGCAAGCAGATACAATATTCAGCAGCAGTCTAATAGAATTTAAGATACAAAGATGAGCACACAAAGTGAAAGAAGGACACTAAACTCAGTAAAACAACTTTAACAGTTAATAGAACAATTTTTTTTTTTTAAAGATTTTATTTATTTATTTGAAACAGAGAGAGAGAGATCACAAGTAGGCAGAGAGGCAGGCATAGAGAGAGAGGAGAAAGCAGGCTCCCCGCTGAGCAGAGAGCCCGATGCGGGCCTCGATCCCAGGACCCTGAGATCATGACCTGAGCCGAAGGCAGAGGCTTAACCCACTGAGCCACCCAGGCGCCCTAGAACAGACAATTTTTGAGTAAGTATAACATGAGAGAGATGCAAGAGGATATTCATAAAAGTCAACTAGAAACCTGACTAAAGAAAAATTTAGAACTCAGGAAATGTGCAGAAAAGGTGTCCTAGTTTCTGGAAAATCAAGTGGAGAAATTTTCCCAGATACAGTGTAAAAGGCAAAATGAAAAGTGTGGATAAAAATGTTTAAATATAGAGACAGAGCCATCGGTTTTAAGTATGTCTAGTATTTTCACATGGAGACAGTTGAAAGGACCTTTTTTTTTTTTTTTTTTCCTTTTAAGATTTTATTTATTTGACAGCACAAGCAAGGGGAGTGGCAAGCAGAGGGAAAGGGAGAAACAGGTTCCCCACAGAGCAGGGAAAGTCCGATGTGGGACTCAATCCCAGGACCCTGGGATCATGACCTGAGCTAAAGACAGTTGCTTAAGCAGGCACCTTGAAGGGACCTTTTTTTTTCTTTACATCCCAGAAAACATTCCTTCATTTTTTCATTCATTCATTTATTATTTTTATTAACATATAATTTATTATTTGCCCTAGGAGTACAGGCCTGTGAATCATCAGGCTTACACATTTCACAGCACTGATGCAGCACATACCCTCCCCAATGTCCGTAACCCAGCCACCCTATCTCAACCCCCCCGACCCCTCAGCAGCCTTCAGTTTGTTTTGTGAGATTAATAGTCTCATACGGTTTGTCTCCCTCCCAATCCCATCTTGTTTCGCCTTTTCCTTCCCTACCCCCCACAACGCCTCACCCTGCCTCTTAAATTCCTCATATCAGAGAGATCATATGATAATTGTTTTTCTCTGATTGACTTATTTTGCTCTGTGTAATACCCTCTAGTTCCATCCATGTCATTGCAAATGGCAAGATTTCATTTCTTTTGATGGCTAGATAGTATTCCTGTGTGTGTGTGTGTGTGTGTGTGTTTGTGTGTGTGTGTGTGAGAGAGAGAGAGAGAGACATCTTCCTTAGCCATTCATCTGTTGATGGACATCTAGGTCTGAAGGGACCTTTTTAAAGAAATAATGCAAAACCATTTCTCAGAATTTAAGAAACACTGAGTGTTGAACAAGATTTTGGTGAACTTGCAGAACATACACCAAGAATAATAAAAATTCACAAATATTCCAAGACACAAACTTTTGAGTTCTGCCAGCTGATTTATCACTTAAGTATAAAGCCAAAATATAATTGCATTTCAAATATTAAGAAACCGAATTGACTGCAAGAAATCCTCCCTGAAAGAATTGTTAAAAATCGTACTCTCTCCCAGAAGTAGAAGAGTGAGTGCAAGAACTAGGATTCAAGACCATTGGTTAGCAAAGGAAATGAAAAAGACATACTATAAAGTCTGAGTAAAGGCCTGTTGTTTAGAAAAGATCTGCACGTGAGTTGGGAATAGAGCGGAGAGAAGAGTTTAATTTCTGCCTATCAGGAATGCTGAATAGATCTAGGTGTTGTTTTTTGAAAAGTGAAAGTATATATTTAAAAATTAAGGGTCATCACTAGGAGAATAGAAATAAGGAATGTATAGCTTCTGTAAAAAAACAGATTAACAACACATATAGGAAACTAAGTCTAACAAAAGGCAGGTAAAAGGACAGAACAGTTTTGTTGCAAATGATACACCAAAAATAAAATGAACAAAATATAAAGTCAACTGAAATATTTGTCCATATTTTATTATTACTTCTTATTTATAGATTTTAAAAATTATTCCGCTTTCTAAATATCGCAAAGGCACACATAACATTTAGTGAGAGGCCGTATAGTAAAGATAAAGGGGATCAAATAATAGACCTGAATGTCAGCATGAGGACTTGGATCTTAATTGTGTTTTGTTGGAGTGCTGCTGAAATGATTTTTGAGTAGGAAGATGAGAACAAGTGTCAACAATGGAATAATACAGTAATAAAGGGGCCCTTAAAGTTTATAGGTTGAGTAGATTTTTAGATGAATGATTTAAGCACATGTACTCTATTTTGATTTTAAGGTATGTGTTTTCCCACATCTTAACATCTATTAAGGACTTAGAATTGATGGTATATCATTGTTTAATTGGCAACTTTTAAAAAAATGTAAAAGTCTTTTATCTTCTTTTCTTTTTTTAAAGATTTTATTTATTTACTTGACAGAGAGAGAGACCACAAGTAGGCAGAGAGGCAGGCAGAGAGAGAGGGAGAAGCAGGCTCCCCACTGAGCCGAGAGCCCAATGCAGGACTCGATCCCAGGACGCTGAGATCATGACCTGAGCTGAAGGCAGAGGCCTAACCCACTGAACCACCCAGGCGCCCCAAGTCTTTTATCTTATATATTTATTTTTAAGATTTAATTTTAAGTAACCTCTACAGCCAGCTCATACTCATAACCTGAGATCAAGAGTTGCATGCTCCACTGACTGAGCTAGCCAGGCACCCCCGTACAACAGTCCTTTAAAATATTTGTACAGATACAGGGGTGCCTGGGGGGCTGGGTCGGTTAAGCATCTGACTCCTGGTTTCGGGCTCAGGTCATGAACCTCAGGGTTGTGAGATAGAGCCCTGCATCAAACTCTGTGTCAGGCATGGAGCCTGCTTAAGATTATCTCCCTCTCCCTTTGCTCCTCCCCACCTCCCCTAAAAAAATTCAAGAGGAGATATGACAGCTATATGCAATAATGAGATCCTGTATTGGATTTTCAGCAGTGAGGGGGCATAGTTGGAAAAACTAGTGAAACTGAAATATGCTCTGTTTAATTAATAGTACAATACCAAGGTTTATTAATTTTAGTAATTTTTCCATGGTTATGGAAGATACTAGGATAAAGGAAAGCTGGGCAAAGGGTATGCAAAAAACTATACTAAAATTATCTCAAAACATTTAAAAAAGTGAGTACTAGGGTGGATGACATCTTAAATTCAGTGAAATACAGTATGTAGATTTTGAAGTAAAGATAAGTACATTTTGCAAAAAGAGAAATATTAAAGTTAGTGGAGGCAGTTAATGAAACAAGAACCTGGGGTGTATATCAGGAGCACTATTGAAGAGTTAATGTCAAAGAGGAATGTTGTTCTCTTTAAGACTGCGGAGTTGGGGGCGCCTGGGTGTCTCAGTGGTTAAAGCCTCTGCCTTCGGCTCAGGTCATGATCTCAGGGTCCTGGGATCGAGTCCCACATCGGGCTCTCTGCTCAGCAGGGAGCCTGCCTCCTCCTCCTGTCTCTCTCTGCCAGCCTCTCTGCCCACTTGTGATCTGTCAAAAAAAAAAAAAAAGACTGGGGAGTTGGGAGTGAGAAGAAGCAGATTTAGAGGTAGAGAGGTGACCTGATGTGTGCAGCTGTGTCTGGAATGGGACTGTTTGGCCTCTTTTGCCCAGTGTAGAGTACATTTTGTTTGTTTGTTTATTTAAAAGTTTTTATTTATTTGAGAGAGAATGAGAGAGAGCATGTGCATGAGAGGGGCAGGGGGCAGAGGGAGAAGCAGACTCCCTGCTGAGCAGGGAGGGAGCCTTATGCCAGGATCATGACCTGAGCTGAAGGCGGTTGGTTAAGCAGCTGCCTTTGGCTTAGGTCGTGATCCTGGTGTCCCAGGTGCCCCTTTGTTTATTTTAAAGATTTTATTTGAGAGAAAGAGCTTGAGAGGGCACAAGCAGTGGAGAGGGAGAAACAGCCTGCCCATCTCGCAGGACCTGATGCTCGGGGGTCATGACCAGAGCCAAAGGCAGCCACCTAACCCACTGAGCCATCCAGGTGCCCCTGTAGAGTACATTTGAATGAGGCTGCTTTTTTGAATTGCACTAGTGCTGAGCCATTATAGAAAGCAGATGAACTGTGGAATTGTAGAGAATGGAAATCTACTCACAATAACAACTTGACAAAATTTGTGTTAAACTACATAGATGACTAAGGTGTAGGGGGAGTAAAAGTGATTTCCTTCATAACCAGTCTTTTAAATTCTGTGTATTATAGGAATATTTATGCTGACACTATCTCAATGATTTCCATTTCTAGCATTTACTGAGTTACTATTATATTTGCAGTTGTAAACAAATGTTCTTCAGTTACGTCTTTTCTACTTGATATTTGAAAAATTCTCATTTTGAGTATGTAGGAACTCTTTTTTTTTTACCTCGATTTTTTTTTAAACTAAAGTATAATTGACACAGTGTTTCAGATGTACAGCATAATGATTTGACAGATATGTTACACTATGCTCATCATAAGTGTAGCTACCATCTATCACCATATAATATTATTACACTGCCATTGACTATATTCCCTATGCTATACCTTTCATCCCATGACTTATTCATTCTATAACTAGAAGCCTATACCTCTCATGCCCCCTTCACTCATTTTGCTCTCCCTGTCTCGCTTCCCTCTGGCAACTACCAATTTGAGGAACTATGTATTTCTGTATATCTTATATATCTTAGCTAGATAGACTAAACATGAAGTGGCCATTAGACATACATGGAATATTGGCAAGATATACACTTAAAATTTATATGTTTATAACATAAAGAGAGCAAAATAGTGGGTTAAGCCATGTGAAATTGCTGATATTCGACTACTTTTGCCTTTACAAAAGGCAGTTTCATATAATTAAACCAAAAAAAGGACCAGTAGTGGGCTATTGATTTCTAATATTTGCAGAGCTGAATACTAATTTTGTAATTTTTTTTTAAAAAACATTGTTTAGGGGCGCCTGGGTGGCTCAGTGGTTAAAGCCTCTGCCTTCGGCTCAGGTCGTGATCTCAGGGTCCTGGGATCGAGTCCCGCATCGGGCTCTCTACTCAGCAGGGAGCCTGCCTCCTCCTGTCTCTCTCTGCCTGCCTCTCTGCCTACTTGTGATCTGTCAAATAAATTAAAACAAAACAAAACAAAAAAAAAAAAAAGTTGTTTAAATTTGGTTTTAGAGCTGATGGGGAACCAGAGCAATTATTTAATACTCAGGCTTTTGCCTTAGCATAAACTGATGTATTGCAAAGAGAGACAACACAGAATCTTTATGGATCACAACAGTAAATATTATAATGACTTTCTTGACATTTGCTATATTACAGTCCTCCTGTCAGGCGCCAGAGAGGAAGAAGGGATCGTCTGTCTCGACATAATTCCATTAGTCAAGATGAAAACTATCACCATCTCCCTTATGCACAGCAGCAAGCAATAGAGGAACCTCGAGCCTTCCACCCTCCTAATGTATCTCCCCGTCTGTTACACCCTGCTGCTCATCCACCCCAGCAAAATGCAGTAATGGTTGACATACACGATCAGGTATAGTAATAGAATGTCCAGAAAATACAGATGCTAAAGATTGGTGGCAGTTTGTTGAGGTGGTTTTTCATTGTAAATTTCTTTTAATTTTACCTAAAAGGAAGCAATTTTTCCTAAACTGAAGCTGTTTTAGGTAAGTTCATTCTTTTTAAATTCTACATAGCTTGAAAGAAAGTTGAACTTTAGAAAATTAGGAGCAAGGTCATGAAAGCTCAGAATGGTTTCATGTATTGGTTGGAAATCACTGATAACAAGATTAATAGGAGATAACAGAAAGCTGGTGGTTTGAATACACATTTCTGTTTCCCTCTCCCTTCCTGTTCTTCTGGATAATTCAGTAGGCACGACAGTTGAGTACATCTTTGTTGGTAGGTATCCATGGGTCTCCAAAGGGATGACAGGTAGATGGCTTATTCCCTTTGTTCCTGCCAGGAGCTGAGGGACTATTTGAGAAGAGGGCTTGTCAGAGCCTGAGAGTCAAGACCAGAATTGTTTGGATTTCTTATGGAGTTTCTGAAGTCAGCAATAAAGTTGCTGAATTTTAAGGATAAGGAAAAATTCGTCTTTCAAGTTTGTAGATAGAAATTAGAAAAGGAAGGAAACTCGAACTGACATTCATTTTTTTCATCTGCAGTAGATGATAGGAAACAATGAAAACACTGTATATTGACAATTGAAAGAAAGTATGATCTCTACCAGGCACCACTTCTGTCAGACATGTTCTATCCTATGTTAAAGAAACACTTCAAAAAATTGATCATGCAGTAAGAAGTTCTAAAAAGAAAAAATTCTCTAGACCACATTCTTTGTGGTCATAATCTGATAAAATTATAAATCATAACTTTAAAAGTAATTTTTAAAATGACACTGAAATGTTTGAGGCAAGATTATAATTGAGGAAAATTAAAGGAAATACCATCAAAGTCAGATATGCCTAAAGCTGTTGTCTGAGAAAATTTTATAAACCTTCATTATTTGTTTTAAAAATAGAAAATAAATGAACTAATTGCTTGAGTAATTAGGGAAAAAATTACCAAAAGGAATGAAAAGAACAAATTACCAGGAAATATAATTAAAATTAACAATATAGAAATTTATTAAAAAAGAAGCAGCACAAATCCCAATCCTGGTGCTTTGAAAAATTGGTAAGAATAACTAGCGCCTTGTGAGCTTGGTTAAGGTGAAAAGAACCAAATATATAAAGGAAGTAGGAATGATTTGAAAAAAAAAAAAAGACCTATATCCATACACATAAGAAATATTCAAAGAATTTTCTTCAATTGTAAAATGAAAACACCTATTTCATAAGGGTTGTTGGGAGAATTAAGAGTTAATCTATTCTGAGCACTTAAACTAGTACAAATGGTAAGCACTCAATTATTATTTTGCTGTTAGCTATTATAATGAAATTCTGTGTATAACTGGGAGGACAGAAAGAAAATACGAAGTTCCTAGAGGGTTTTATGCTTAGCGAAATAATTCAGAGAAAGACAATTATCATATGATCTCCCTGATATGAGGAAGTTGAGATGCAACATGGCGGGGTTGGGGTAGGAAAAGAATAAATGAAACAAGATGGGATCAGGAGGGAGACAAACCATAAGAGACTCTTAATCTCACAAAACAAACTGAGGGTTGGGGGGGTGGGATAGGGAGAGGGTGGTGGGGTTATGGACATTGGGGAAGGTATGTGCTATGGTGAGTGCTGTGAAGTGTGTAAACCTGGCGATTCACAGACCTGTACCCCTGGGGCTAATAATACATTGTATGTTAATAAAAAATTAAAAATTTTTTAAAAATGCAAAAAAAAATATGAAGGTCCAAAAATTGACCCAACAATAATAGAAAAATTTGAATTACCACATAAGTGTAAAAGCTACTTAGAATTTTACCATTGAAGGGGCACAGTGATAAGATGGCTTCACAGATGATTTTTCTAGTGTAAGGAACTCTCATGTAATAATATACAAATGATTTCAGGCTTTTCTTAAAACCAAAAAACCAATTTTTTTAAATTATTTTATGAAACCCATGTAATTTTAATATCAAAAGTAAAGATAGTAATCCCCAAAGAACAATAGAAAACTCTCAAATACAAAGGAGGACTTTCTAAATAGATGTTTAGAAATACCTAGCAGCATATCAAGAATAATAACAATAAAGGTTTATTCCAAATAAGAGGATAGCGTAGTACGAAAATATTCATAGTACATCAACAAATAATAGGAGAAAATAATGATTTTTATCAGAAGATGAAGTCAGTTAAAATTTAATAAAAACTAATAAGAAAGAACCAAAAGGAAATTACTTAAATGTAATAAGTAAAATTAACAGCAAGTATCCTAATTGGCCAGAGATGAATCAGGAACTAGAGATGTTTGCTGTCCATTTTTATTTAATGTTACATTAAAAGTTATACCAAATGGAATAAGATAATGTAGTTACAGGTATAAAACAGTGAAAGAAATAATTGTATTTTTCTCCTCACTATGTAATTGTAGAAGAAAACACAAGAAACTCTAGTTTTAAAGAATTTAATATGGGGCCCATATGCAGATTAAATGTATAGATGTGTCTAACTTATATCAATCACTTCATGAATAGATATGGTATATCCATACAGTGGAATAATAATTCACTAAAAGGTGGAGTGAAGTACTAACTAATTCATGCTGCACTACATGGATTAACCTTGAAAACATGCTAAGTAAAGAAAGTCAGTCATAGAAGGCCACATTTATATGAAATGTCTAGAATAGGTTAAATCCATAGAAATGGAAATGAATTGTTTCCAATATTGTTATGGAGGATAAGCCAGGACAAAGGAAAGAAAAAGAGTTTGAGAACAAGAAAAGAACAAATAACACCCATCAGTATTTGCAGATGAAATGATCATATGCATAGAAAAGCCCAAAGCATCTTAGATAAGCTAGTAGAATTAAGAATTGAACAGATTGATTGGTTACCAAAACACCTATAAACAATCAGTTGTATTTTTCTATATCAGAATCAAACATAATAAAAAATACTTTTCAAAGATATATTTACACTAAACAACCAAGATTTTTTTCAACAGATAAGCCGTGGTGATGAGGGGAGATGCAAGTGGCAGTTAACAAACTTAGAGATATTCCAGTTAATTGTAATATGTAAACTATTTTGGATTCTGATTAAAAATTTGATACTGATGCATTGGAATTTTGAACAGAATATTATTTCTAAGGATCTTTTTCTCTCTTTTTTTTTCTTTTTAAAAGATTTTTATTTATTTGACAGAGAGATCATAAGTAGACAGAAAGGCAGGCAGAGAGGGGGAAGCAAGCTCCCTGCTAAGCAGAGACCCCGATGCGGGACTAGATCCCAGGACCCTGAGATTGTGACCTGAGCCGAAGGCAGAGGCTTAACCCACTGAGCCACCGAGGTGCCCCAAGGACCTTTCTCTTAAGGGAGTTTGATAATGCTCTTGTGGTTAAGTGTTTGTGTCTTCCAGAAATACATACTAAAATATTTATTAAAGGATGGGTTCCTGGGATTTGCTTCAACAAAATACAGGAAAAGGAGAAGTTGATGGAAATGGATTGGCTGTGGTTTAATGGTTTTGGAGGCTACATAATGAATATGGGGGCTCATTATACTACTGTTGAGTGTGTTTGAAATTTTCTGTAATGTTCAAATGAAAAATTATCATTGAAAAATCAAAATAATATGGAGGAAATTATGAAGCAATCTTAATAAAAGATGCCCAAGATTTATGTAGAAGATTATAACACTTTGTTAAGGCAGTAAACCTATCTAAATACTGAAGGTTTGTCTTGTAAACCTTTTTGTAAAAACTGCCTGTTGTCAAAACTGACATTTGGAATATGTAGAAATAGCATAATCTCAAGTAAATTTCCAGGAAGTTTAGGTGTAACTTGAAAAGCTGATCCTGTCATTTCTGTGGCATTTTATTAAGGGCCTGGAATTATCTTAGGGTAGGGGAAAGCAGGCTACTGCCGACTGTTTCTGTAGAGTTTTACTGGAATGCAACTATGCTTTCTTATTTATCATCTATGGATACCTTTTGCAGAGATCAAGATGCCCACAAGCCTAAAATACTTTCTGGCTCTTTAAGAAATAGTTGGCTGACGAGTGCTCGGGTCTAGTTGCTAAGACCAAGTAGTTCTCAGAGTATGTGCTAGATCATCTGGCCAGCAACAGCAGCATCACCTACACATTTGTTAGGAATGCAGGTTCTCAGACTATACACTAGACTTACTAAATCAGAAACTCTGGGTATGGGACCCAGCAACCTGTTGTAACCCAAGTGATTCTAATGCCAGAATAATTAAATGGGCTAATGAAATAGAACATAAAGCCCAGAAATAAACCCACACATTTATGGATACTTAAATGATATATGGCTTCAGATGAGTTGGAAGAAGACACAATTTTTAATTAATAGTGCTGGGACAATTGGGTACCCAATTTGTCTTCCTAGATATTAATTTCTTTTTTTTTTTTATTTAAAGATTTTTTTTTTAACTTTTCATTTATTTGACAGAGATCACAAGTAGGCAGAGAGGCAGGCAGAGAGAGAGGAAGCAGGCTCCCCGCTGAGCAGAGAGCCCGATGCGGGGCTCAAGCCCAGGACCCTGGGATCATGACCTGAGCCGAAAGCAGAGGCTTAACCCACTGAGCCACCCAGTCGCCCCCCCTAGATACTAATTTCTAATAAGATAAGTAAAGCAGGGGTGCCTGGGTGGTGGCCCAGTTGGTTAAGCCTCTGCTTTCGGCTCAGGTCATGATCCCAGGGTCCTGGGATTGAGCCCCGCATCGGGCTCTCTGCTCAGTGGGGAGCCTGCTTCCTCTCTCTGCCTCTCTGTCTACTTGTGATTTCTCTCTCTGTCGAATAAATGAATAAAGTCTTTAAAAAAAAGATAAGCAGCATGGATTTGGCTCAAAATATAAGTGGGAACTTACTGAGTGGAGAAATATGCTGTTTATTTCCATTTAGAGGAGAAAAGGGTATCTTAATAAGTGGAACAAGTGTTGCAAGAAAAAATTAGAACCCTACTTCACACTGTAAATAAAAATAGATTTTAGTTAGAGATAAATGTAAAAAATAAAAATATTAGAAAGTTTAGGAATATATATATATGTATAACCTCATCAAGAACTATAAATTTGTATTCAGTATCATTAAAAGGTAATGAAAGGATACAAGACTGGGAAAATAGTTTTGTTAGAATGACAAGCAATAGATTTTTATCTCTAATTAAGCTCTAAATGAATGTGACAGAAAACCTGATAGAGGGACGCCTGGGTGGCTCAGTTGGTTAAGCGGCTGCCTTCGGCTCAGGTCATGATCCCAGCGTCCTGGGATCGAGTCCCACATCGGGCTCCTTGCTCATCAGGGAGCCTGCTTCTCCCTCTGCCTCTGCCTGCCATTCTGTCTGCCTGTGCTCACTCTCTCTCCCTCTCTCTCTCTGACAGATAAATAAATAAAATCTAAAAAAAAAAAAAAAAAAAAAAAAAAGAAAACCTGATAGAAAATGGTCAGGGAACAAAGGATAGTTTACAGAAAAGGAACTCTGAATGGTTAATAAACCTGTCATAAGGGGCACCTGGGTGGCTCAGTGGGTTAAACCTCTGCCTTCAGCTCAGGTCATGATCTCACGGTTTTGGGATTGAGCTTAATCCCAAAACCGGCATCGGCTCTCTGCTCAGCAGGGAGCCTGCTTCCCCCACCTCTTTCTGCCTGCAGTTTCTGCCTACTTGTGATCTCTCTGTCAAATAAATAAATAAAATCTTTAAAAAATAAAAAAATAAACCTGTTATACTCACCTTCTCTAATCAGAGAAATGCAAATTTAAAACAAGCATGTTAATACTATTTTTTGTTGTGTTGTTTCCCCCCCCCCCCCATTCTTCAGGTGGGTAAGCACAATTGTGACACAAGTACATCTACTTTGAGTGGAGATGCTGGGAAATGGTTCCTATTGTTACTGTTAGGATTGTGGCTTACCCAGCCATTTACGATACTGTAAAATCCACCCTTTTACCCAGAATCCCTCTGAAATAAATGAAACTACTAGTATGTATGGATATGTATTCAGTGATCTTTTTTTACAGTTGTGTTTGCAGTGGTGAAAGAGTGAAAACAACTTGAATATCCCACTAGTGTATTAGTGATAGAAGACTGTGTTAAGTGGGTATACTTGAAATGTCTGGCTAGTATCAAAAAGAATGAATTGACTTTAACTCCCTTCAAGACATATCTACAGTATTAATTGAAGAAAGTAATTTGCAAGCTATATCTCATTTATGTTAAGGGGAAAAAATTAACATGACAACAATTTGTGGATAATCTGTATATATTCATATGCCCATGGAAAAAAGATGTTGAAGGGTTATATATTATTAACATTGTTTGCCTCAGGTAGGATAGGAATCATACTGGCCAAGAGAGCAGGAAATTATTTAACTTTTTAAATTCTCCTTCACGTTGTTGTACTAGTTGGATTTAAATTTTTAAAAAAATTTCCTGTTGGATGTGGCTAGGTATTAGAAGATACAGCTTTCATGTTTCAAAGTTTCCTCAGAAAAGTTTTCTCTATAAAGCAGACGAGAAGAGTTAATACAGCAGTTCATTATTCTCCTGGACTTTTCAAGTCTTTTTGAGGGTCAAGTTGTGTCTTAGTTCTGTGGGTTTTATATATTATTCTTGAAACAGTCAGCTGTCCTGTACAATGATAAAGAATATTCTGGTTGAAGCCTTTGGAGAAGTACATTGTGAAACTCTGTGTAGCTAAGAGAGGAATCCATAAAGGCCTAGATTTTAATTTTTAATAGTTGATTTCTTATTCAAACACCTGAAGTTCTAAGGTTGCATTTTTCTTTCCTACTAGCTCCATCAGGGCACTGTCCCTGTTTCTTACACAGTAACAACAGTGGCACCACATGGGATCCCACTCTGCACAGGCCAGCACATCCCTGCTTGCAGTACACAACAGGTCCCAGGATGCTCTGTGGTTTTCAGTGGACAGCACCTCCCTGTCTGTAGTGTGCCTCCTCCAGTAAGTCTGCAATCCCCTTAGAATGGCTAAGTGTGTTCTGTAAGCAAACAGAATTAAAGAGACTGCTCTTTGGAAAAAGCTTTTCATTTTCAAGTAAAAAATGCAATTCTATTGCAACAGGAGTCTCAAAGCATACTTAAAATAACAATTTAGTAAAGTTAGCTTTAAAACTTGGTGTATTTTCAAATTAAATTATACATATTTGAATATCCTGAAGAGAAAGCATGTATCAGCACTGTTTATAATTAAACCTTGATAAAGGTTGGATTTAGGGTACTAACATGGGATATTGAACTACTTAGGAAGTTAGTCTCAGAGACTTTAGTGATCAACAGTAATAGCCTCAGCACTTACTAGATTTTACAAGCACTTTGAGTGCTTGGTCTTATTTCTCACTGTAGGAAGCCTGTGGTAACAATGGTATCCCCATTTTCTAGATGATGAAATTGAAAATGACTTAATGTCACAGAGACAATTAGTATGAGAGAGCAGTGATTCACACCCCACTTCCTTCTGCCTCTTAAGCTCATGTTTTATCCTTTAATCCACTAACCCCCAGTCTAACCTCCTTATTTCACAAATGAGGTCACTGAAATCCAGAGAATTTAAATGACTTGTCTGACTAAGGTTTTCAAAGTAAAGCACTTTCCTGAAACTAAATATAATCCTAATATCTTTATTTGAATGTGAGATTAAAAGGAACACAGAAATACCAACTCTAGTTTTAATTTATTAATTTATCCCAACCTTGATTTCTCAATAATGGATTATGGGATCAGTGTGCTAAATTAGCAGACTAAAATATTGAGAGACATAACATAAGGGACTTAGCTATGGGTTGGGCTCTTAGTAAATATCAAAATTCCATAAATAAGAAAATTTCTGTAACATTGAAAAGGATAGGTTCTTGGACAGGAAAGCAGTAATACCTGGTTATTCAGTCAAGTAGAAAGGAGCTTCCTCTTCTGTGCAACACTTTTCACTTCATTTCATAGGTATCAAAAAGCTAGAGAGGAAGTTAGGTGTTTTGACTTCTGTGCCAGAACTATATAAAATACAGAATAATTACTAGTATTTTACTGATAAATGCAAAAATATGCTATAGTTTCATTGTCAGTGTAGGTCATTAAGACATTTTGGTATGATTTTGAGCGGGATATGGCAATGACATTTCAATCTCAATGTATAAGTTTTTAAGAATATATTATTACTAGTTTTATATTAATAAACAACAAATAATGGTTTCTTTTACAGATGCTTCAAGCATGTTCAGTTCAGCACTTACCAGTACCATATGCCGCGTTCCCACCCCTTATTTCTAGTGACCCATTTCTTTTACATCCTCCCCACCTTTCTCCCCATCATCCTCCTCATTTGCCACCACCTGGCCAGTTTGTCCCTTTCCAAACACAGCAGTCACGATCGGTAGGTATCTACTCTTATGTCTTTAATTTTCAGAGAATGTATAGACCTAAGAGGCAGATTAATTTGATAGATGTTATTTGTTACCACTTAAAAACTATAATTTAGGCATTCTTCTGATTCTTAAAAGAATTAGGGAATTCACAGATACATAAATTAATATAAACATGTTTACCTAAAATTATCTTGGTTGCTTAAGTTTTTCTAGTTCTTTTATATGTCTCTTTTATAATTTAAAATTGTTCCTTCATGTTTGCAATCCTTCTGGAAGTAAATCTGAAGAAAAATTCAGTTCTGTTTTTTCCTTTTATGTATTTCTGAAATGGTGGAAAATGAAAGTATTATAAAATAGTTTATTTGTACTTGCTATAATAATTACTTTCATTTAGGCAAGTAAAGTAAATTTCTTTGTTTTCTGGGTTTTTTTGAAGTCCCATTTTTCTTCTATATTCTGATGAAAAGATGAGGTCATCTGTTAAAATACAGTTAATTTTGTCTTGGGACTGGAATTTAGTTGAGAGGCATATTCTTTTGAGGGGTTGGAGGAGGTCTAAACACTGCAGCAGTGGAAGGGAGGGCACAGGAAGGAGGCCCAGATGTTTTTTGGACAGGCTAAGTTAACCATCTGAACTATCAGGCATTCAGGGTGAATGGGAAAGAGAACATATGGAATGATTAGAGGAAAAGATTTTAAGTCCTGTGAAAGGAATTTGACCATGTATCCTAGAGGAACCCTTAACCATCCTTTACCCAGGATTTATGCACCGTAATAGGTAGAGGGTCTCAGGTAGAGGAGAACTTAACCTGGATGCTCCTCTGACAGCTATAGAAGCCAATTAGGACAAAAGTTTGGCTTATCCAGAAAGGTATAACTACTTCTACAAGAAAGTCTTTATTAGAATCATGGCAGGATTGATGGCAGGATGTTCTCAGCTTCCAGTACCTGAGAGTTCAAGGTTAAAACAAAATTTTGCCATCACTTAGGTTTGAGTTTGGTATCCTTTAAAAGGTGCAGTCACATCGCCAGATCACAGCAGCTCAGGTTCACTTGTGTTGTCATAGCGTCAGCGGTTGGGATTTCTCTCCAGCATATTTAATAAGCTCCCAAACTAAAGTGGAATTCTGTTTGAATAGTGAATAATGTGTTGATAATTGTCTAACTGCAGGAGGAAGTTAGACTAACATTGACGAATACGTGTTCCTAAAGGAATCAGATACACAAAAATATGTACATAAGTGTTCATAGTAGCATTACTCCTGACATCAAAAGGTGGAAAGAGTTCAAATGTCCATCAACTGATACAGTGAATCTTTTTCAACTATAAAAAGGAGTGAAGTACTGATACATAAACTACAAAATGGATGAGCCTTGAAAACATTATGCTAAGTGAAAGAAGCCAGACACAAATGACACAAACATATGAAATGTTCCAGGATAGGCAAAGCTGTAGAAATGGAAGGTAGATTGGCAATTGTCCAAGGCTTGGGGAGGACTGGGAAAATGGGGTAGTGGATTCCTAATGAGCACAGGTTGGGGGGTGGAGGGATGAAAGTGCTATGGAATTAGATAGTGATGAAGGTCATACAACTCCGGTGAATCTACTTAAATCTATTGAATTGTACCCCTTAGCAGGGTGATTTTTTTATAGTATGTGAATTATATCTCAGTAAAGCTATTATCAGGAAGAAACATACTATGTGCTTTGCTTTCCTACATTGTCTCAGTGTTCATAGTATGCTTTTGAAGTAGGCAGTGAACCTTTTAGTCCTCTAGATAATATGAGGTTCATATGAAGTTATTTATATAAAAGTCACATGGCTCATTAGTGACAACAGCAAGAGTCTAATACTGAAGCCCATAAGTCTTCTAATATAGGAGCATGTCTGCTCTATCTGATCCCACCCATTTAGCCCTGGTTCTGATTTGTAAATATACACATGCTCAGTTTCATATGTTAAAGATGTCTGAAGTGTCTGAAGATTTTGTGAGGTCAGTGTATTATGACTAAAAAGGAATTTTAACTTCCATATAATTACTTTCCATCTCCTTTTTATGAGACATTTCAAATAGTAAAATGTTTATTGGAAATGTTTTAACAACATGTTTCAGAGATTTTACTGTAGTCTGTATGTCCACATGTATAAATTTAGATTGGTATAAACATCAAGAAATAAATGACCTTAAAGGTGTTTGGGGGAGGTTAATTTTTATTATTATGAAACATAATATGTCTAAACACTGGTAGTATATTAATATATTAGTTTGCTCTTTTCCTCCCTCAGCCTCTGCAAAGGATAGAAAATGAAGTGGAACTCTTAGGTGAACATCTTCCAGTAGGAGGTTTTACTTATCCTCCATCGGCCCATCCCCCAACATTACCTCCATCAGCTCCTTTGCAGTTCCTAACCCATGATCCTTTGCATCAGGAGGTGTCCTTTGGAGTAGTAAGTTTTCAGTCATGTTATTAATCTATTACTTGCTCTGATAACTTGTTTTGAGTTCTGTTTCTATATAACTCTGCCTGTTTAGAACTTTAAATGTATTCTTGAAAGCATTTAGTTGGAAAATTGTATTTAAAACTACACCTAAGTGTATTTTTTTTTTTTTTAAGATTTTATTTATATCTAAAGAGAAAGAGAAAGCAGGTGGTGAGGGAGAGGGAGCATAGGGAGAGGGGCAAGCAGACTCCATGCTAAGCTCAGAGCCTGGTGCAGGACTCGATCCCATCACCCTGAAATCATGACCTGAGCCAAAATCAAGTCAGATGCCCAACTGACTGAGCCACCCAGGTGCCCCAGTCACTAAGGAATATACTTAAGTGTATGGTTTTTTGTTGTTTTTTTTTTAAAGATTTTATTTATTTATTTGGCACAGAGATTACAAGTAGGCATAGAGAGAGGGGGGGAGAAGCAGGCTCCCTGCTGAGCAGAGACCCCCCCCCCCCATGCGGGGCTTAATCCCAGGACCTTGAGATCATGACCTGAGCCGAAGGCAGAGGCTTTAACCCACTGAGCCACCCAGGCGCCCCTTAAGTGTATGTTTTAAACTAGTTGTATTTATGCTAACATTTAATAAATGCCAAATGTTACTTATTAAATAGTAAGAAATTTTGTAGGTTTTTTAAGAAGAGAGACTATTAGGCAAAATAAATAGTTAAAAAGGTAGAGTGATCTTAAATTGTTTTAACTCTTTTCCCCCTACAGCCTTATCCTCCATTTATGCCTCGGAGGCTCACAGGACGTAGTAGATATCGATCCCAGCAGCCAATACCACCTCCCCCCTATCATCCCAGCTTACTACCATATGTGTTGTAAGTTCTGTTTTTCTCATTTTAGTGAATTCTGGATTTTGATAGCCTTGACATTCTCCTCCTTTTATGAATATCTTCTGTGTGATAATACGATTTTAGGGTGTGTTAGAGATTTGTTTTTATTTAATGTTAAGGGATTGGACTGGGAGACTGTGTAAGGGTAGAATAAAGAGAAGAGCCAAGAACAAGGGAGAAGTGGGAGAGGAAGAAATTTGTGAGCCAGAAAATAGGTCAGAAGATTTAAAAATAAATCAAAAAGTAGAAAAGTTTACAATTTTGCCTCTCTTAAACAGCTGTCATCACTAGCCATCTTTGAATTTCCAGCTTTTTAAATTAAGATTTTATTATTTATTTGAGAGAGAACGTGCGCGCCCGCGTGTGCATGTGCATGTAGCAGGGAGGGGCAGAGGAATAGGGAGAAGCAGACTCCACACCAAGTAGGGAGCTCATTGTGGGGCTTGATCCCAGGACTCTGATGCTTCACCAACTGAGCCATCTAGGGGCCCCGCATACGTTTTGATGTTGCTGCTTTCCCAAGGAAAGAGGTCAGAGAAGTTATTTCTGTGCCTTAGAAATACTGTTAGGATTAAGTTTGTAACAGATGCCCAAGTGTTACACATGATAGTTTTTAATTTGTCTTTCACTGAGTGAAGTTCAGAAGTGGGCGGTTCAGGGATTGTTAGCCCAATAATTAAGGAATGGTTCTACCATGTTCAAAATTTTATGGCTTTCTCTACATGATTGAAGATGGCTCCTCGGGTTCTAGCCATTATATCTACACTCCAACTAGCAAAAATGAAAATGGATCTCTCTGCCTTCCTGCCTAGTTTCCACTGGCCAGAATTCAGTCTCAAGTCTATAATTACCTTCTAAGAAGACTAGGAAATGTTTTTATGCAGAGGGCAATGCTCCTATACCACACTTTTTTGATAATTGTAGCTGTATTAGAAGTCTTAAAAATCAGATAGTATCAGAACTTGGCTCTTAAAATTATTTGAAGTCTTAAGTGATCCATGTAAAGTTTAAAATCAGCAAATCGGTTTCTACTAAAATATAGTTTGCTGGGATTTTGGTAGGGGTTGCATTAAATTTATAGATCAATTTTGGAAGAGAATTGGTATCGTCTAGTCTGCTTAACAGTATATTTCTCTGTTTGTTAATTAAAAAAAATCTTCCTGGTTGTAGTATTTTTAGTTTTAATTATATAGGTCTTGCACATGTTTTATTAAATTATAATCCCTAATATTTCATGTTTTTTATGCTATTGTGAGTTGTATTTTTTTAATGTCAGTTTTATTGCTAGTAAAGTCCTTTTCTTTAAAGGGCTGCCACTGATTAACACTGACCATTCTTTATTCTTTTAGCATTAACCTTGTTCTTCCCATCCTATTCATTGAAGTAGTGTACCAGTGTATCAATATTAGTGTTGGTTGTTTTCACTGCAGATCAATGCTTCCAGTGCCACCTGCAGTGGGCCCAACTTTCAGCTTTGAATTGGACGTGGAAGATGGAGAAGTAGAAAATTACGAGGTTAGTAGGTAAACTGAGTTTGTTTGGGTAGAGTTATTAGCATAAGAAGTATTCTACTCATTCACCTAATTAAACATGCATTTGATAAGTCCTTTGTATGTTTCACAACATGAATATATCAAAAAAGTGGTCGGCATCCTTGGGATATTTCTACACGTACCACACACCTATGATAATAAGATAGGCTTGGTGCTATATTAGAGTTACATAAAATGCCTTTGAGAAAATGTAAGTGAGAAACAGTGAATTGTGATTTGGTGTGAAAAGATTTTTTGGAAGCACAAGTGTTTGAGCTGGTTCCTAAAGAATGGAAAAAAAGCCGCTTCATTGCATGAGATTGAGGTAGGGAAGTGCTGGATATTCTTGAGGCATGACATACAGTTGGTGGCTTAAGTGAAAAGGAGAAAATAGAGATTTGATTGAAAATCTCAGCTGGCTGTTGAGTATGTGTGCCCTGCTAGAGACATAATTTTCACTGTTGGGAGGAAGGAGCTGCTAAATGTTTTGGTTCTGATGGCATCAGATTCTACCTTTAAGAGTCAAAACTGCTAGTAGCATAAAGGAATAGATGGGAATGGTTAGACATTAGTGGGAGGAAAACTAACTAAATAGGTTGGGCAAATTACAGAACCATGCAATTCTGAACTTTGGGAACTGCAAATATAAAAGAGTAGATCTTGAGAGACTTTTTTCTTTATTCTTAAAGTTTTTAAATGTGGTTTAATTTGAGAGACTTAACACTAGAATCAGCAGGACTTGATCGCCAAATGGTTTATGGTAGTGTTGGGTGTGCACAGGGGGCTTGCAAAAGAAGATGCTCTGCAAAAAAGATTGCAGTAGTTCATGAAGAAGGCAGAATAAAAGAAGATAGCAGGTCAAGTAGCTTATATTTTACATACTTATATAATTTTATATGTAATATATAAAATAATATTACTTGAGGTTACGAATGGGAGGTGCAGTTTAGGGGTTGGAAGGCAACTTTGTATTGTTGATTGTAAGTGACAATGTGACTTTTTTTTTTTTTTTTTTTTTAATACTAGTTAAACCTTTCTCACCCCAGCTTTACTTGGTCTCTATACAATGTGAATAGAACCTAGGGACAGGGAAGAGACAAACATACACATACAATCTTAAAGCACCTTTGGTGTGTTGTTGTTGTTGTTGTTTTGTTTTTGTTTTTAAACACACGTGGAAGAGATCAGGCCAAATACTATATTCTTCTGTAGTTTTCAAAATGCTCTTATGTCATTTTCCTTCTATCTTATATAATCACACTGCACTGTCCTTTGGACTCCAGTTCCAGATTTCTAGAGAGAGAAAGGGGCTGTGTAATAATTTCCTGGTTTTGTTTCTACACTGATGATGTCAGTTTCGTGCAAAGGAGTTGGTTATCCTTTAGGTATTGTATACTAAAATTAAGTCATAAGTCATGTTGCTGAAGGGGACAGCTCCTTGTTGAATAGATCATGTACCCATCAGTGGAAAAAACAGTGATACCATCCCAACATAAGAAAAATATTTTGGGATGCCTGGGTGGCTCAAAGAGAGATGAAAATTGGCTCCTATTTCCCTTTCTAGGCCCTACTAAACCTGGCAGAGCGACTGGGAGAGGCTAAGCCTCGAGGACTGACTAAAGCAGATATTGAACAGCTTCCTTCTTACCGGTTCAATCCTAACAATCACCAGTCAGAACAGACTTTGTAAGTACATATTTCTGACATCACTCGGAAATTTCCTTTTCTACCTTTATAAAATAAAAGCTTGAGAGTCAAAGATAACTTGATAAATAGTCTCTATTACATACTCCAGGCCTGTCCTGTTCTGTAAGGTAGCCAGTAGTCATGTGAGGCTGTTTAAATTAAATAAAAAGTTAAGTTTCTTTATTGCACTCACTAATGAGTCTGTTGTTAGAGACAGAAATGTTCTACATCTTCTAACAGTGTTCGACAGTCCTGTTCTAGATTTTTAGGTTGCCTAGAAATTTTATGGTTTCTGTTTCTAACTTCAAAATATTTTATATGAGATTGAAGAGCTTATACATGTAAAGGTTGAGGTTTTTACATAAATATTCTCCTTATTATAGTATCTTTAAGGACAACTTTATGGAGATACAATTCACATGCAAAATATGCAATCAGTGGTTTTTAATATATTCATAGAGTTTTGTGACCTTCAAATTTGCAGTCTTCAAATTCAAATGTACACCATTTCTTCACGCCAAAAAGAAACCCCTTACCTACTAGCAGCCACTTTCCATTTTTCCCCAATCCTATCTATTCCAGCATAGCTTCCCACTAATTTACTTTTTTATCTCTGTAGCTCTGCCTGTCCTGGACATTTCACATTAATGAGATCATACAATACATGCTCTTCTATGTATGGCTTCTTTAACTTAGCATAATGTGTTCAAGGTCCATTATTTTGCTTGTATCAGTACTTCATGCCTTTTTATGGCCAAATAATAGTCTGTCGTAAGGATAACACCAAATATTGCTTATCCTCTTCCTCAGTTGATGGGACTTTTGGGTTGTTTTCATGTTTTGACTAGTATTAATAATACTGCTGTGAACATTTGTGTACAGAATTTTTCTGTGGATATGTTTTCATTCCTCTTGGGTATCTAATAGATCATATGGTAGCTTTGTTTAACCTTTTTAAAAAAGTTTTTATTTATTCATTTATTTAAATAGTCTCTACACCGAACATGGGACTCAAACTTACAACCCTGAGATCAAGAGTCACGTGCTCTTCTGACTGAGCGAGACAGATGTCTTTGTTTAACCTTTTGAGAACTTAGAATTTTTTCCAAAGTGGATACACAATTTTACATTCCCACCGGCAATATGTAAAGTTTCTCCATATCCTCTCCAGTGCTTGTTACTATTCTGTTTTGATTCTAGCTGTCCTAGTGGGAGTGAGGTGGTTTATCTTATTAAGTTTATCTCCATTTCCTATATGGCTAACGATGTTGGACTATTTTAGTATGCTTATTGGCCACCTGTGTATTTTCTTTGGAGAAATGTCTGTTAACATCCTTTGTCCATTTTTAAATTGTTGTATTTTTATTATTGAGTTGTAGAGGTTATTTATATGTTATACATACAAGTTGTTCCCTTATAAGATACGATTTTCAAAAATACCTCCCATTTTGTAAGTTGTCTTTGCACTTTCTTGATGGTTATCTTTTGAAGCACAATTTTTTTAAATGTTCGGTTTATCTACTTTTTTTGTTTCTTATGCTTTGGTGTTGTTTCTGCTAAACCATTGCTTATTCCAAGGTCATGAAGATTTACCCCTATGTTTTCTTCTAGCAGTTTAATAATTTTCAGCTCTTAATTTAGGCCTTTGTTTACTTTTCAGTTAATTTTTGTATATCATGTGAGGTAGGGGTCCAACTTCATTCTTTTGTATATGGATGTCTGATTGTTTCAATACCATTTGTTGAATATTATTAGTGTCTTCAGTATTAAGACAAGCTTGGATGTTTAACCAGTTTTCTTGATGATCTCTCCATAAAGTGAAACATTCTAAATGTCTTAATAACATGATTTTTTCAGGATATTGATAAATTATTTTGTCTTGAAATTTAAATGACAGTTTGAAAAGTGAGATGATAAATGGTTTTTCTAGGTTTCATTAGTCATAACAAAATAGAAAACCACTTGGATTTATGGTTAAGTGATCTTTTTTGCTTTTTTTAGGTGTGTAGTATGCATGTGTGATTTTGAGTCAAGGCAGCTACTTAGAGTTTTACCCTGTAACCACGAGTTCCATGCCAAGTGTGTCGACAAATGGCTTAAGGTAAAGTGATGGCATCTGTGAAGAGAATAACACTGAATTTTCTTTTTTGTTGACCACATTTTAGGTAAAGTAAGTCCCTTGTTCTGGTGGAGGATGGATAAGGAGACAAAATTTTCAGTGATGTCTGCAAATAGAAAAGGCCAGTAAAAATTAACTAGAGTCATCAATGTGGGAGTAATTGTGCAAACCTTAAAAATAGGTTATTTGTCTTTAATCATCAGTATATCCTTTCTAGTGGTATATATAGGGATGAATTCTGAACTTGTTGGGCCAGTTTCCTCTAAGAGTTTAGAAGGGACTTCCTTTGTTAGAAATTTACATGGGAAATGAACCACTAGTGCTTTTATTTTATTTTATTTATCTATTTTTTAAAGAATTTATTTAATTATTTTACAGAGATCACAAGTAGGCAGAGAGGCAGGCAGGGGTGGGGGAAAGCAGGCTCCCTGCTAGGCAGAGAGCCTGATGGGGGGCTCGATCCCAGGACCCTGAGATCATGACCTGAGCCGAAGGCAGAGGCTCAACCCACTGAGTCACCCAGGCGCACCCACTAGTGCTTATATTTAATCCTGATCATTTTTCTGTTCTGTAGGTATGAAAAACCTACAGACACAAAGGACACAAATTCCGCATTTTGTACTGGTAGAATAAAAATATGATGCAGTAAAATAATTTTAAAAGGGTCAACTTTATTATTTTTTTAAGAGTATTCTGATTAGGAGATAAGACCAGTGATTTAGATAAGGTCACAGTTTGGTGAGGAAGACAGATGCATTAAAACAGAATTAGTCTTCTGTATGAGCACAGAGTAAGGGTGCCCAGTTTAGCTCAAGCCGAATCCAGAAGGCAAAGAGTCTTAACTTTTAAAAAAAGTATTATATGTGCATGGCCCTGCGGTGTAGAACGGAGATTGATAGGAAAATAGCAGATCGTATATGGCTGATTTCAAGAGTGGCGAGAGAAGAGATAATTCAAAGATAGGGCCAGTGACCGGCTTATTGTGAAGTCACAATGTGTGTGAAGGAGTGTGGACTTGATCCTGGAAATGATGTGGAAGCCTATGACTGAGATTGTATTTTAGGAAGATGACTGACCACCATTTGGAGAATGGAAAAGGAGAGATATTTCTGAGAGACTTTGAGAAGGAATGGTGATGTTCTGAGCTAGACAGAGAAGGAATACTGGCAATTGGATGAAAAGAAGAGAACTGATTCGAGAGCTATTATAATGTACAGACGGGAGTATTGGATGAATAAAGTGTTTTAGAAAGAGAGCAGGTGATATTTAGTTTTGTGGCTTTGGCAACTCAAAGAACAGTGGTGCCATGTGTTGAGAGGGCATTTTAAGCTAGTTACTAAGTCTGTCTGAACTGGTGATAGGTAATTTTGTCTATATGTTGAAACAGACATAATTAAAAACAATAATTCATCGACTACTAAGTCTTTGAGTTTGTAGTTTTTTTTTTTTTAAGATTTTATTTATTTATTTGACAGAGAGAGACACAGCGAGAGAGGGAACACAAGCAGGGGGAGTGGAAGAAGGAGAAGCAGGCTTCCTGCTGAGCAGGGAGCCTGCTGTGGGGCTCGATCCCAGGACTCTGGGATCATGACCTGAGCTGAAGGCAGATGCTTAACAGCTGAGCCACCCAGGCACCCCTGTAGTGTTTTTTTTTTTTTTTAAGATTTTATTTATTTATTTGGCAGAGATCACAAGTAGGCAGAGAGGCAGGCTCCCTGCTGAGCAGAGAGCCCGATGCGGGGCTCGATCCCAGGACCCTGAGATCATGACCTGAGCCGAAGGCAGAGGCTTTAACCCACTGAGCCACCCAGGTGCCCCTGTAGTGTATTTTTTTTTAAAGAGATGAAATGATTGCTTTGTATCTTTTTAAAGGAATAAATAATGTAAAAACTATGGGAAATAAAAATAGCTCATTGTGTTTAACATGTTACATTGTAAAATCACAGTTCAGACATATTTTCTCTTTTGTGTTTTAGGCAAATCGTACTTGTCCAATCTGCCGAGCTGATGCTTCAGAAGTGCATCGGGATTCAGAATGACCAACCTAAGAGCACAATTTTAGTTTGGGTGTTCCTCATCACATGTATATACGGACTATCCATTGAACTTAATCTGTGTGGCTTCCAGCCCTCCCTTTACCAAAAGGGTCAATGGACCCTTCTTTGCACTGTGTGACTTAATCAACTATAAAAGCTTACAATTAGTCTTCACAATTATGGGATTGTTATACTAACCGTGTGATTGGAACTCCAAAGACTTTTTCTTTAGCTTAATTTTGTGTGTGCACTAACATTCCCTGGTTTTTGTGTGATCATTCCGAGTGTTGCTGCAAGATTACAGTGGACGTGATCTTTTAGCATGTGCTTTTATAAAAAGTGGTAGCTCCAGATGATATAGCAATCTACCTTATATAGAGCCTTCAGAAACTGTGAGTGGAAATGAATGCAGCGTATGACTGTTGATAAATGTATCTGTGTGTGAGAGAGTGTGCGCAACTACTTGTGTGAGGGCATGGTAGCTAACGTGTGTATGAGATCCTATATACCAGCATGTACCAAGAATGTGTGTGTAGTTTTAATTATGCTGCAATGTATAATCTGGTGTGTTATTTAAACAGCACTAGTACTGTACACTGGTTTTTTCCCTTGTGTTTGCTGTTGCACACTGATTGCTAAGGGTGCATCAATGATAAGCATTGAATACTCCATCCCTTCCCTCCCAGTGAATGGAATGAGAAAAGCCTTCTTCCTTTGCTTCAGGCAGCTGTCACCTTCTCTTTGTTGGTGGTCCCAAGTGGGTCACTTAAGAAAAAAAGTGTAACAGATTTCTCACTCCATGAACCTGATTTTTTGATTCTGTTGTGAAAAAAAAAATTTTTTTTTTAATCTCCAACTTACTGTTTCCAAAAAGAAGGTGCAATATCATACATCATCAGTTAGCAATATTAGCATTTCAATCAGTGATTTGAATGTTGATACTTTCTTGTTTTTTCCTTTACATTTCCAGTAAGTTTCTTACGGGAAGTACCTGTGATTTTTTTTTTTTTTTAAATGTTTAGGTTTGTAGTCTATTCTGAAGATTTTTGAGTAATATATTTCTAAGAATATCGCTGGTCCCATTGTCTCACCTCCTTTACTTCCACCAGAACAAAATCTGTTAGCTAATTCAGCTTGACTTTTGATATGTTCTTTGTTAAGCGCGCATAGGCAACTACATTCTTTTAAGAAATTCTGTTTCTGTTTGTACTGATTCACCTGCCAACCTCCAATTCTGAAAGTTGTCTGGTTCTTCCCTCAGTAAATGTGCTTCTCATGGAAACCCTCATTTCCAGGATGGATCAAGTGCTGTGACAGCTCGAATTCTTAGACCTGATGTGCTTTGATGTTTCATTGCTTTTTAAAAATTTTGTTTGAATGAGAAAAATTTAATATAACAGGTCCAGAATACTTGCAGTATAAATGAAGATTTGATTTTTGTATAAAAAATAATGCTGTAAAACAGGAATTGACCTTCATTTAGTTGATCTGAAATAATACATAGCTGTGTGGGGTTTTTTTTTTTATAGGTCCATTGAACATCATCTAGATTGTTTAAAGTCATTTTTCCAGCAGTGTTTTGGTTCCTCCCTCCTTCTTTCATTGTCTTCAGCCTTGTCTGCCTCTTCCTGCAGTTGAGGTCATTGCTTTGTTTGCAGTAGTGCAAGCTGCCTAATCCCAGTCGGAACTGTGATGACTTGCTGCCAGCCTCACTCAGCTTTCAGTTGGCTCTGTGTCCGTTTTCTACTCAGACAGTGTTAACTACTTGTTACTGCCATGCTACTTGCCTTCCCTGAAGTCTCTATAAGCTCATCCCAGCTTAGAGTTCAGTAAAGTCAGTTCTCACAGAAGCACAATTTTGCCCTTTTCAAGACACTGTTGCCTCTATCTAGTCAGACAAGTAGGATTTTGCATACTTTCTGTTTGCCCCAGTATTTGTCAGTGCATCAGAAATACATCTCAACAGTGCTAAAGTGCACATGTTACTTTTCAATCATTAGGATATTCCCCACCTGTTCCTGATGAATAAAAAGTGTGTTGAAGACCAAAATTATTGGCGTAATAATCAGCTACATTACAAATCACGTATAGTTTGATCTTTATTTTTTTTAAGTATAAAAAATCATGTTTAAAATGGCAAAAGCCCATCTTATACATAGACTCTTTTATATAGCTGCAAAAAATTTATATCTGTACAGATCTAACATAACACTACTACACTCAGTATTCATTTTATTGAAGCATGCAAGTAAAGCACTTTTTCTAATTTATATAGATACCTAATTAACAAGGCACATTGTACTAATGACTAGGAAAAGTAGTAGCTCTTTTGTCCCTCCCTCTGACGATGAATTCTTGTCATAATATCCCTTTTCCAGCAAATTTTTGAGAGGCAGTTGGCAATTTAGGAGGCAGCAGGGTCTATTTTGGTAAAATCCTGAAGTAATGTTGCACTTTTGTGACCAATCTCTCTTTGGGAATGTCTTTCTTTGCATGGGGCCCTTGGAGATGTGTACAGATTTGCTTATTAAGTGGTTAGTGTGTATTAGGAGCATATATGCATGTGTTCTGAACCAGCTCAGACTAGCCACAGTGAGCAGCTTCATGGCTAACAAAAGAAAGAATAGTTGCTTCGTGCCCAGCTGTTGTCACCTTGAGCGATGCACCAGATAGCAGGCAGGTGTTGGTTTGTTGCCTTCTTCCTCTTTTATCCTAAAACAGTATTGGCTTTACCACCTTAACTCTGCTGTGGGGTTTTCATTTTGTGTTGTTTTGCATGAATTATCATCTTCGAATTTTTTCAGCCCCCCCCACCCCCCACCCCCATAGAACAAAACAAAAAACAAGTCAAGGCCTCCAGGTATCCAGATCTCATTAGGATTTTCTGTCCTGAATTTTTTTGAGCAAAATCTGGAAAATGTCAAAGCATATTTAGATTTTATACACTCTCTGAAATGGGATTTATTAAGATTCTTAAATTGGGCCTCTTATAGTATTTTGAATGAGATCTACCAACTCAAAGAGAATATTTTTCACAGATATCTTTAGGCCTTCATTAGAAAGCTAGTTTCCCCCCTGTGGTACATTTGGTTACCTCATTTTGCTGTTTGTTTCAGATTATGAAAGCTTACAGGGGTGTTTTTGGAATCATTTGCTGAGTCATTTCCTCAAATCATATCCCATTGTATCAGTTAACATATAGTTTTAAATGTATGTATTATAAATATCTGTAACCAAATCATTTGAAGGCTTGATAAATTTTTAACAAAGTTTGTACATTTTTTATGAAAGTTACTAGTAATGCTTTACTAAGTAGTGCAATGAATTTTTATTTTTAATCCCTGTGCCCAATTTTGGAGTTGAGAGGGTTGTTGGTAATAAATGTATGATGTACACCTAAAACATTTTGTTGCGTTTCATGTTACTGTGTTAAGGAAGGGGTAGGGTTGTATGTGCTTGAAGGGAGGGTTGTAGGGGAATTCCTGCAGGAAGATGGACCTGTTGAGCTATTTGCACCTATATTCAATTTTTAGGCTATAATACAGATTTTTACTGTATTTTTAATCATCCTAGAAACACAAAAACAATTAGCATTATAATATACAGAACAGAATTCTATTCTTTAAAAAGCCAAAATAGGGGCGCCTGGGTGGCTCAGTGGGTTAAGCCGCTGCCTTCGGCTCAGGTCATGATCTCAGGGTCCTGGGATCGAGTCCCACATCGGGCTGTCTGCTCAGCAGGGAGCCTGCTTCCCCCTCTCTCTCTCTCTCTCTCTCTCTCTCTCTCTCTCTCTCTCTCTGCCTGCCTCTCCGTCTACTTGTGATCTCTCTCTCTGTCAAATAAATAAATAAAATCTTTAAAAAAAAAAAAAGCCAAAATAGGGGCGCCTGGGTGGCTCAGTGGGTTAAAGCCTCTGCCTTTGGCTCGAGTCATGATCCCAGGGTCCTGGGATGGAACCCCACATCGGTCTCTGCTCAGCGGGGAGCCTGCTTCCTCCTCTCTCTCTGTCTGCCTCTCTGCCTACTTGTGATCTCTGTCTGTCAAATAAATAAATAAAATCTTAAAAAAAAAAAGCCAACATAGCTGAATATAGCTACACATGTGGCATAGGCTTATTGGACAGTAGGGCCACATAGTAGGTAACAAGATTTCTTTCTATATGTGTTAACCATAAGATGCAGGAAATAAGATAACAATAGATAACTGGGCAAATTGGTCACCATTAGCTACAGCTTAGGTCCAACTTACTGTCAACATAATGGGGAAGAAGAGCCTCTGTTATTTTCCATACATGTGTGTGTAATCCCTTTTCTTTGACCAAAAAGGAATAAAACACATGTACTTAATATATCTATGCCAGCCATGTTACTTGAGAAGGAAAGTTAGAAACAAAACAAAGTGGAGGCTGAAGAATAGATTTCACTCCTCTTCCCTCTCTCAGGGCCTGAGAGAAGAGGCTGCCCTCTGACGCTCCAGACCATAACTATTAGAAGTATCCAGTGAAATGACCAAGTCCTGATTGTTTCTCTCATTTTCCCAGCATACTGGAAAGAATGCTTGTTTTGGACTTTGAATGCTTCCAGAAACCCAAAGCTTGTGCTGTCTTATGGCAGAGGCCTTTGCTACCCTCAGTGTACACCCATGCAGGCGCTCATGCCTCCCTACCGCAGTAAGGTGGAGGCCTGCACAGCTATGTGAGCGTTTGAAATGTGGACAGCCCAAATTGAGATGTACATTTATACATTGGGTTTCAAAGACCTGGTTTGAGGAAACAAAATATGTCAGTACTTTTTACACTAATCCAAAGACCTTTGAAAGGCCTCTAAGGAAGCACAGGCCCTGTGGCAGTACTTAAAAGCCATGGCAGCCCTGGATTCTGAGTCACTAGGTGGAAAAGAGCTGTCCTAGAAAGCCTCTGGAATCAGATTTCCCGTGAGCAGCAGAGACCCTTAAATAAGATGTGCAGTGTAGACTCCTACCAGGACTTCATCTTTGCCCATTTATTCCCCCCTTTGACAAATCTTTTTCTTCTTAAATTCTTAAGTCACCTACTGAACCTTGGATTTATCAGTTGTGTCAGTTAAAGCTCACTGGCTACCATTATTTCTTAATAGATCACAAAACCTGATTTGTACCAAAGGAAAAAAATTCTTGTGAATGTTTGTGATCATTGCTCTTAAGTGTTTCAGGTCTCTTATATGTTACAGATTACTGAACTACTACAGACTGCTGTCAGAAATATAATGAGCCACAGTTGTAATTAAAGATTTTTTTAGTTACCACATTAAAAAGTAAAAGGAAACAGTTGAAATATTTTTTATATATTCTACCAAACCTACCCAAAGTATTTCAGTATGTGATTAGTATAAAAATTAATGAGATGTTTTACGTTTTCTCATACCAAGTCTTTGAAATCCATTGTGCAGATTTACAGCACATCTCTGTCTGGACTATCCACATCTGAAATGCTCAAGTAGTTACCGGTGGATGGTGGCCTTTACGTTGAACAGGACAGGTCTAGACTGGGATAATGCCAGGTTATCTGGTTTCCAAAGAATGAAACATTACTCCTGATACCTTCAAGACTTAACATTCTACCATTGCATACCTTTATAAACTATAGTGTGGTTAGCAGTATTTGACTCTGTATAGTTGAATGTAACTTTAGCTATATTCAGTACTTAAATAGTAAGTTTATAAGAAGCTGACTTAGTTGTGGTGAACCATCATGTATAGCGGGCCTTGATAACATTCACGAATAGTTTCTTCTCAGTACTAATCGGACATTTGCTTAGCACTTTCAGGATTCACGGCAATTTGAAAGATTATTTGCCGATCAGAGAATTGGGCATTCTGAACAACTGGGAGTAGGAAACTTCCAACCCACATTGAGATGATGGGGTAGATTCCTACTGATGTTGTCTTACAGTGCATATGCTCTGAACGTCTTTCATGTGGCCCTCTCTGCCTCCCAAAATGACAGGTGGGAAATACAGGAATAAGAAAAACTGAAGAAAAAAAAATAAACATAGTGAGAGCCAGGGAAATTGAAGGTCACCTTATGGTCTGAAGTCCAAAAATGTGCTGTAGAATCAGTATGGATGTTTTCCCATTATAGATGAAGGGAAGTGAATTGTTAAGTAAAAAGGAAACCACTTTCCCTTCAAACATCTGATTCTTGCTCTACACATGGAAACCGTAGTGGCGAGTTTTAATAAGACCTGTAGTCAATACCCAGCATCTGCCAGTACCCATCAATGTGTCCAGTAAACATGTTCACAAGCTGCTTTCCCCCCCCCCCGCACAGTCCATCCTTAATAGTAAGCTTAAGAGATTAGCAGTATGATGGCCTCTCCCTTCCCATTACCTCAGTTCTTTCATGTTTGGATAAGAATAATTTTTATATTATCCAACCTTATTGGTAGTTACCACTTATAATAAGGGTTCCACAAACAAGGTAAGATAAAGCTTCTGACTATATAAATTTACCCTAGTAAAGACTGATGTTTGTATTGATGGAGCAGGCATGTGGTATCCATGTGTTCTACGTGGTTCTTTTTCTCCCCTTCTGCTTTTGGACAATGTTAATACTGGGCTTAAGCTAAATCAGAGGGAAATAACCTTGACCATTGTACCAAAATAAGGCCAGCGTTCCCAAGAAAAAATGTAATGCTATCTGGCGATTCAGGCATAGACTGCCCTTGTTTTGATACTAGTAAGGAGGAAAATAGATTGCATTAACTCTTAATTCCAGAAATTCTAAAAAGAAATTTGAACGATCTTTCTAATCCAAGCTACTAGACTTCAGTTTGGGAGACAGGTCAGAAAGGAAAAAGTGATGGGATACCTGCTTGGCTCAGTGGGTAGAGCATGTGAGTCTTGATCTCAGGGTAGTGGGTTCAAGCCCCTCATTGGGTGTAGAGCTTACTTTAAAAAAAAAAAGTTCAATTTCTCTTCCCCACGAAATGAGAGATTGAGGTCTTTCCTAAGGGGCGTTCACAGCCCCCAAGGCTGCGCCCCACAAGCCTCTGTGGAGCAGCAGTTTCTGCCAGGCAGCGTCAGAATCAGGAGTCAGGTAGCTAGTGTGTCCGTTTCCGAGGGCTGCTGAAACAGGTTAACAAATTTGGTGGCTTAGAACAAATTCTCTCACTGTTCTGGAGGCCAGAAGTCAAACATCAAGTGCAGGGTTGGTTTTCTCTGGAGGTTCTAAGGGGCAATCTGTGTCTCTCCTTGGAGTTCTTTGGCTTGTAGGTATGTAACTCCACAGTGTCTGCTTCTGTCTGCATGTGGGTCTTCACATCTCCTCCCCTGGGTGTCTCTCTGTGTTCATCTGAATGGAAGGGCCCACATCTCTGCATAGAGGTCAGCTGTATGGGTACCCTAGAAAAAACCAGATTTGTTCCATCTCGGGAAATTATTTGAATCTGTTCCAACAAATGAACACAAAACTCCAGAATTTATCATAAAACAATGACTAAAATATTTTGGACCCGGAAAATGTTAGAGGGATCTATTATTTTATCTTCAACAGTCAGAAGTAAACCTCAGTTGCTCTCACAAATTGATTCAGAGTAGTGAGGCTCCCTAGCATATCCATGAAAATATGTTAACGGTGAAAGTTAACTATATATGTATCGTTGGGTAAGTGAGAAATTAGCAGTGTTTTTTTAAAGGGGAATCAATAAATAGGAACAGGTCTCTAACCTGTGTCTCGTCCGATATGTACAGTTTGATCCATGATGTTTTTTTGCTGAATCAAAATCTAATAAATCTTGAGAATACTATCGTAACTAAAAGAAGCCAGACAAAAGGCCGCATATTGTGCGATTCATTTTTGTGAAATGTCAAAGGCAAATCTATAATGATAGGATTAGTGGTTGACTAGGGCTGAGGGGTTGGGAAGCTGAGTGACAGCTAAAGAATGTGGGGTTTCTTTTTTGGAGTAATGAAAATATTACGAAATTGTGATGGATGCATCATTGTCTGAATATATTAAAATAAACACATGCACGAAAATCCATGCATGAGAATATTCATAGCAAACTTTCATCACTCCAAACTGGAAACAACCCAAATTTTTGTCAATTATTGATGAATTATGGTTGAGTTTTATAATGTTTTTTTTTTTTTTACAGATTTTATTTATTTGACAGAGATCACAAGTAGGCAGAGAGGCAGGCAGAGAGAAAGGGGGAAGCAGGCTCCCTGCTTGAGCAGAGAGCCCGATATGGGGCTCTATCCCAGGACCCTGAGATTATGACCTGAGCTGAAGGCAGAGGCTTTAACCCACTGAGCCACCCAGGTGCCCCGATATAATGGTATTTTAATACAGCAAAGAAAATGAAAACTATGCACAGCAACATGATGTATCTCATCAAATATATTGAATAAGATGTAAAAGG